GTTATTTCAACGAAGACCCGAAATTATTCAATAGTAGAGAGAAAGAAGGTTATCTTTCACTGAATACCAGAGGGCGGTCTCTCCTAGAGAAGTCTGCACTCATTTTCCTATGTTTATATGAAAGTCAAAAGTGTCTAATTTTCAATTAATTAACAAGTGAAGTAAAGAAATTCCGAAACTTTTCAATTCATGCTGATTTAGAATCTTCTTCTACTTACTTTCAATAGGAGTGAGTGCGTAAGTAAAAGACTAATAAATTATTTCAAACTGTTAGCAGCATAATTAGTAACCCTTATGTTTGACTTTAAGCGAGAGCTATCTCTGCTCGCATTCGAAAAGCGAAAGATGTATGTTTTCCGATGATAAGGAAAATTATTGTTCAAAAGAAAATCCCCGCAAAGAGTTACGCAAAGAATTAACTGTGACAATAGACAATAGAATGGGGCTACAAATTAAGTGAGCAATTACAAAAAAGTGACAGTCCCCCTCCCCCCTATTCAACATTTTATTAAATCACCATGAATAATGTTGCTGTTGTTGGTCTTTGGAAAAGAATTAAGTACACCATCATTTATTATGAAGGAGATATTTGAAATTGAAATGAAAATTAACATAAAATTAAAATAAATGGAGGAGAGACTTTTTTTTTGATTTGAATAGGTTAGGGGAGGGTTGTATGAGTAAACTTAAGTCAACTGCAAAGTAAGGGGAAGTGGGAACTCACTTGTCGTGATCTTGATAAATTGAAGTCTGTATTTTTTAAGTAAAAAAGTGTTTTATTTAAAGACTTGGGGATACGTATTTCCCTTCCATAGCAACAAGTCTAAAAGTGTGTTTTTTGTTACTAAATAAAATTAGGGTTTCGCCAACAACAGACCAAGTAAAATGACAATTTGGAATTCCCTTTTTTTCAGACAATGAGTTTGACAGATGTTTTTGGTATCAGATTTCGTCTCTCTGTCCGAATTTCATTGGAATCGGACATACATATTGCGTTGGGTGCATCAAAGATGTTAAATCGACCGAAAATATATATGGGAGTTACATCGAAATCTGAACCGATTTTAATATAATTTCACAAAATTTATTTTTACACCAAATTTTGTCACTCATGCCAAATTTCAAATCAAAGATGTTAAATCGGCCGAAAATATATAAGGGAGCTATATCCTAACCTGAACCAATTTCAAAATAATTTGACAAATTTCTTTTCTGAACAAATCCCGTCACACATTCTGAATTTTCTTGGAATCGGACATACATATCGTGTTTGGTGCATAACATATATGAAATCGGCCGAAGTATATGGGAGGTATACCCAACCCTCACCGATTTCAACATAATTTGGCAATTTTTTTTTTGGTACCAAATTTCGTCTCTTTGTCCGAATTTCATTGGAATCGGACATACAATCGCGTTTGATGCACCAAATAAGCGAAATCGGTCGAAAATATATAACGGAGCTATATCCAAATCTGAACAGTTTTGAATATAACTTGGCGAAATTATTTTTATACCGTTTTGGGAGGTAATCAAGCTACAGGTCGCAATTATAGCCCGATCCTCACGGAATTGAAAATGGAAGTGGGGTTAGGGTCAGAATAGAACCCTATTGTTTTTGGAGATGATTGCACAATATTTAGGGGTGATATGGACCAAAAACAGACAATCAATTCGGAATGGGCTCTTGCCAGAAACGGATAAAATCTAAGAAAATCTCGAAAAATATGCCCAGAAATGAGTGAATATCTTTTGTTGCATTTTTTTTAATTTCATATTTTTTATCGCATGCAATTTTAAAATTTGACTTATAATTTTGAATTGCAAATTTTTTAAATTTTTACACCCCGCAACACCACGTTTTAGGATATTATATGCATGTCACAATTATCGTCCCATCCTCACGAAATTGTGTATGGGGTAGGGTTAGGGCCAGAATTAACATTTACATTTAGGAGTTCAAATGGACTAAACCATTTAATGTTTTCTAATTTTGTAGTCGCTCTATAGACCACAATCGAAAACTTATCGACACGGAATTTCGCATCAGAAAAGAGTTAAGACAGGGGCTTAATTTTTGACATTATTTCAAAATCTTCCAAAATGGATTTGGACATAAAGTGACTTCGGACAAATTGTAGAGTTGTAGGATATCACATGGTCGGCCCCTAGTTTATAGATATGTGATAATTTTTGGAAAATGTTGAAATATGCGTGAGATAGCAGATATAATGGACCAAAGCATTAAATTTCAACCAAACACAGTTAAAAAAAAATGTGGATGCGCAAAATTAAAAAAAAGATCAGACAACTAGCCAACTTTAACCAGTTTTTTGGAATAATTTTTAATCATAATTTTAACCCTTTTAAGGGTGTAACAAGAAGGAGTGAGCCATATTCACATCAGATCTTTTTTTTTTTAAATATGTAGATTTTCCAAGTTTGAAATAAATCGCTCTAAGTTTGACAATAATATTACGATGTACCAAGTTTGGCCCAAACGAATACTCGATTCGAGAGTTATCGTGCGCACCTGCTAGCCCAACAGACTTTCGGACGGACACGCTTACATCTAGGAGTCGATGTTTGGATTTGGTTACGGCACGTTTTGGCCGTATCAAATGATATATACGCTCTGTAGCCATATGGCTGAGGGTATAAAGAGAAGTCCAATTTTCAATTAACTTTTCACAGATGATTTAACTTCCTACTATCCTTATATTTGCCAAGGGGATTTCTATTCCAGCCACATTCGTATAGAAAATAAGCTCTCCCTTTTCGCTCAGTTAATGGCCATCATTGTCGTTAGTATAATGATTATCGTCCTCGTTCCCACTATTTCATAACACTAAATCATTTGAAGCGTTATGGCCAACTTATGGTAAGCGAATGCAAAATGTGAATTGAATGTGTTTCCCGAATACTAATACCACCAGAGAACAGTGGAGAATTTTTACGACACATATAGATGGTGAGATGAAAAAACCTCAACCAACTTCAGACTGCTGTCATTTCTAAGCCACTCGTCCTCGACAGCTGTTACAGCTCATTATATTTTTTACAAGCGTACTAAAGCATTTTGGTGAGAATTTTCCAGAAAAAAAAGTTATTCCTGATGGAAGTCAAGCGTGATAGTGTTTTCTTTATATTTGGCTGGAAAACCACAAGTGGCTATCGTTAGAGCACTCCAGCATTTAAATGTGAATAAATCTTTTGTGTCTCGTACCATCGCTCGTTACCGTGACACTGGTATCGTAGCCCGACGTCAAGCAAGTGGACGGAAGAAAACATCAGCAGAAATGGTTCGAAGCGACTTGATCGAAACCCGCGTCGCAGTGACCGAAAAATGGCTCGTAAGAAGAACGTGTCGCAATATTCCATTCGGCAAAAATTGAAAAATGAGCTCGGGGTAAAGCCATTGAAATTCAAAAAAGTGCAAGAACTTACACCGCAACCCAAAGAAAAAAGACTCAAAAGAGCTAAAGAGTTGCTTCGAATGGCCGAAAGTGGTGAAGTGCCGAATTTGGTTTTCTCCGATGAGAAAACATTCCTTGTCCAGCAGTTTGTAAACAAACAAAATGATCGTGTTTACTTGCCAAAGGGGTCAGCTGAAAATATGCACCTTCCTTTGGACATCAGAACTCAAGCGCTGGCCATGGTGATGGTGTGGGCCGCCATAATAGCCGATGGTCGCTCTCCGCTCGTATTAATCGACCATGGCATCAGGATAAGTGCCGAATATTATCGCGAAAATATTCTGGAGGGGGTATTAAAGCCTTAGGCACGCAACCATTTTGGCCGCAGACCTTGGACATTCCAACAGGACTCAGCACGCGACATCCCAAGAATGGTTACAAACTGAGGTTCCTCGCTTCATTTCCAGCGCACAATGGCCACCAAAATCTCCGGATACCAATCCGTTGGACTATTGTGTCTGGAGTAGTTTGGAAAGCAAAGGTTGGCACTAAAAAATACCAAAGTGTCGATCACCTCAAGCAAGCGCTTCGCCGGGAATGTGCCAAAATACCGCAGAGCAACATTTGGGCAGGGTTTGACGGTTTCATTGGTCGTTTGAAAGCCATAATTCGTGCCAAAGTTGACCAATTCAAAAAAAATCTGAACTTATTCTAAAATTTGATGCTATTTCCGACATTTTTTGCTTTCATTTAATGAAATTTAAAAAAATGTAAAAATTATGGCGTTTGACTTTGTTGCAGTTTTTTTAATCTCACCCTGTATTTAAAATGCTACACAAACATATGAAAGCGTTTATTTGGTTTTCGCAATTTATAAAAACTCGGAGCATTACATTTACATTCTTCTTAACTTTACCTCTAAATATCAGATGTTTATGTTATTTAATTTTCAGAACAGTGTTGGCTTGTTTGTTCAGGATACCATAGTATTTTGTTGTTGCAAAATGGTCAGGTTTAATCCCATTATTGTTGTTATATTTTATTATCAGTTCCCTTGTTTTTTTTTCTGGGATGTTCTCACCAGAAGTTTTAAAAATAACTTCTATGACAAATCGTTCTCCAATAAAAAACAAACGTTGTTTTTATAAAAACAACAATAAAGGGATTAAGCTTGACCATTTTGCAATAACGAAAAATTATTTAATTTTCTCTAAATTTTAAGTTTTATTTGAATACATTTTCTTGCAAAAATGTTGTTCACAATTTTTCATAATTTTTTTTTTTTAGAGTTTTTCTTGTTAACACTGTAATTTATTAAAACGGAACATTTTAAACATCTGAAAACTAATAAACATTGGTCTTTACAAGCTGTAAAAAAAAGTTCGACAGACTTTTGAAAATAGTCATTATTGACTGGAGTTTTAAGACAACACATGAGAGGGATTAGAAACAAGACCAACAACAACAAAAAGCCAATGGCAACATGTTTCAAAAAAAATACAACAACAACTAGTTAAAATGCAAAGAAAATGTTAAGTTAATATCCTTTTTCTTTCTTTCATTCTTTCCACCCATTTCCCCTAGATTGTATTCAAGTGAAAATTCTAAGCAATAACGGCCAAGGGGAAAACGAGGAAGGAACCAACAAAATAAAGCACAAATCATCTATGTAAACGAAAAACCTTCAAGAAGTTTTGAAACTAGCATACGTACATACATACATACACACAAAAATTCCTTGTTACCGAAAGCTACAGCAGAAGCAAGGACGGAAGGAAGGTAGAAAGAAGTGAATATTTGAAGAACCACAATTTTGAATAATAAAAAGAAAACTAAAAACACAAAAATACCGAGAAAACATTGCTGGAAACATATTTAGCTGAAAACAAGACAACTCAGCCAGAATCTGAAATACGGAGGAAAAGACGAAGACGACCAGAAACGTTAGTAGTTTAGACAAATATCTAAAATAGCGGAGAACCACCAAAAACGTTTGGAATAAAATTTTCCAGCAGATGCGAAGTGAAGTGAAACGAAGCAACTAAAATTAGACGAATCATTGCTGGAAACTGCTGTTGTAACAGAAAAACCAACAACAACAACTCAGGTGGTGTTTAGTGGCTGCTGCAAGGACAAAGTATCCGCCAAATACTCTCTCTCCCTCCATCAGTTTAGGTGGGAGAACTTAAATCTTAATCTGATTCGAAATAGAGTCTCTCCACGTTATAGCCACTCGAATGGATGTTTGTTGATGTTGTTGCTGTTCGAAGAAATAAATTTAAATATCTAACATTCTTGCCATCTTGTTTGGCCGACACCGTCTGTTTTGGTTTATTGTGAACAATAACGACGAAAGTTTGAAATAACAACGCCGAAAAAAAAAGTTTTAAATGAAAAACACATAAAAAAGAAACTTTAAATAAACGCACAAAGTTTACGATCAAAAATCTTACGAGCCACCAAAAGCGAAACAAAAACAACCACAAGAACAACAACAACGTTGGAGTGATAAGGACATAAAGCATTGTTCAAAGCAAGTTGTGGCATATTTTTGAAGCAGCATAACAAGAAGAAGAAGACGAAACAATACCAAAGACGACGACTACCTAACAACAATATAAGACATAGTTTATCAAGAAATAGACGAAGTAAATATAGCGGTTGAAACACTGGTCTACATAAACCATTGGTGGTGAGTACAAACTAAATGATTGAAATGATATAAAAAATTTAAATTTTAAAAAACTTTTTTCAAAGGAATTAGCAGGCTAATAATCGTCCACGGACTTTTAGGGAAATATTCCTGAATTTTTTATTGTATGTTTTCAGGGGCTTTCAAGGACAAAGTCATAGATTTCATAAATACATATTTTTGGGGACACATTCGTGGATTTTTAAACAATTTTTAAGAACATTTTTGGACATAATTTTGGATTTATAATTTTTTTTGTCAAAGACTTCTAAGGACATGATCGTGGACAATGAAAAAATATTTTTTAATGTCTTCTGTTGGGGATTTTTAATTTTTGTGTTTTCCAAGGATTTAGGGATATTTGTGGAATTTTAATTTAATTTTTTAAATACTCCCCGGGCAATAATCATGCATTTTTTTTAATAAATTCCAGGAAATAGCAGGAGTATAATATTGATTGTTTTAAAATAAATTGTATATTTTTGCAGGCCAATAACCATGGTACAATGAATACAAGGTAGGCTAACTTTGAAAAAATTGCTTGTAATGTAAGAATTACTATCAAAACAATAAAAAAGCAAACAACTTGTTGCATTGATTTTGAATAAATAATTTAAAACCGCGAAAACTGAATGAAAGGTCAAAATTTCTTTTCAAAATCATGTTCTATACATCTCTTATGGTTTATTTCGCGACAAAAACTGGAGATTTTGTCGATGCATAAGTCGCAATAAGCATTTTGAAAACACCCGAATTTGAATGTTTTCTGAATAATTTTTTTTATTATTGAAAAGAATGCACAAACATGAACAAATGAAGTTGACATATTAAGCCAGAAAAATAAAAAATTAAAATCATATGGTAGTTCTGCCCTACCTTGAATTCATTGTACCATGCCAATAACCATGAATTTTTTAAATATAATTTTCCAAAGGACAAGTAGGCTTATAATTATGGATTTTTATACCTACACCACACAGTGGTAAGGGTATTATGTCTTTGTGCATTTGTTTGTAAGAGGTAGAAGGAAGCGAGATAGACCCATAGTTACTTTTGAGGATATTCATAGAATCACTTCCTGAGTCGATTTATGTATGTCAGTCCGTCCGTCCATGTATTCTTGTCAACAAAAATCAGGTCGAATTATAATCCGATTGAGACGAAATTTTGCAAAGAATTTTTGTTTGGCTCAAGGACAAACCCTATTGAAATGGTGATAATCGGATCAGATTTACATATACACCAAATGGCCAATATAAGTCCTAATGACATGCATTTTGGTACATCCCACCGACTTCAGTCTAAAATCAAGTAATCAAATTTTGGAGAAAATCGATTCAGATTAATACGATTTGGGGTTTTAAGTCCCTCACATGCGTAATACGCACTCCAGGATATTTGGTACCGGACATCAGATACTGCTCTAAAATACCACTATCGAGATCGGTTCAGATTAGGATATAGCTCCCATATATATCTTTATCCGATATCAGGTTTATTGTGAACCAAATGGCTAATATCAGCCCAAACGACTGAATTCATCCTATAAACCAGTACTTCAAATTCGGTGTAAATCGGTTCAGATATAGCTATAGCTCATAATAATATGCAAAAACCAAAAACTATATTTGGTACCAGATATCAGATACAGCTCCGAAATAAATGTACCAAATTTTGTCAAGATCGGTTCAGATTTGGATATCGGCCCCATGTATGTCTTCAACTGATTTCGGCTTAATTTTTGCACCAAATAGCCAATATCAGTACAAATGACCTGAATGTTGGCGCAACCAAGCGAATTCAGTGCAGAAGCAAGTACATCAAATTTGGTGAAAATCAGTTCAGATATAGCTTTAGCTCCCATATACCCTAAGTCTCTTTGGACCAAATCGGTTTCAGAACATTTGGAGTCGATCTATCGATGTCCGTCCGCCTGTCTGTCTGTCTCAGATTTTAGTACATTGGAATGTTATTATCAAACATAGATCGAGTTTCGAGATGAGCTTAATCGGTCCACTCCTTCTGGTACATCCCCCACAAAAGGTCCAAAATTTTAAAAATATATATATTTTACTGTACAGAACGAAAAGGATAAACCGATTTAGCTCCAACTTTTCAAATCCTAATATTTGGATCATTTGCCAGGATAGGTGCGAAAATGGAAAATATCGGTCCACTCCATCAAGTACACCCCCACCCACAGAGTTTGAAAGTTTTGAATAAATTTAACTCTTATAAACTGTGATGTAAGAGTCCGATTGTCTTCAAGTTGCACACTTCATATTATTAACCGAATATCTGGTGTAAAGGTGGAATTATTGAACCACTTCTTCTGGTACCTGGTAAAGAGTCAACATTTTGAATATCCTTGAAACTCATAAAACGCGAAATAAACATCCAATTCCATTCAGACTTGGTACATCTCAATATTTCTATCAACACTAGATCTGTTATAAAGATGGTACAGATCGAACCATTCCTTCTAGTACCTCCCCCACAAAGGGTCAAAGTTTTGACTAACCAAAACGATTTTAAACTCCGAAGTAAGCATCCGATTCTCTTCATATTTCACGCATCACAATATTTATATTAATCCAAGGTCTGGTATAAAAATGGGTCGGAGGAGTCGACCTACAAGGAGTCAAGATTTTGAATATCCATGAAGCCCATAAAACGCGAAATTAACATCTGATTCCATTCAGACTTGGCACATCTCAATATTTCCAGATACAAGATCTGTTATTAAGATGGTAGAGATCGGACCATTTCTTCTACGTCCCCTACATAGGGTTGAAGATTTTTGAAAAACAAACGTTTTTGCAAACGCAAAATCTGTTGCGAAGATAATACTGAGTGAGATAAAAAAATTGCAACAAAACCAACCGCCATAATTTTTATATTTTTTTAAATTTCATTGAACGAAAGCAAAAAATGTCGGAAATAGCATCAAATTTTAGAATAACTTTAGATTTGTTCGAAATGGTCACCTTTGGCACGCAGTTGGTTGTAATTTTTTCAACTCACCCTGGTACCTCACCCACAAATGGTTCCAATTTTAAATAGTTTTATCTGTGATAAAAAAAAAAAACATGTCAGCGATTCTTTAGGACTAGCTATATCCAAATATTTCTCTTATCTGGAAACCTGTGATGAATATAGCATTTATGATTTCGCATAATTTGGATAAAAATGCTCAATTTTCTTAAAATTTTTCCCATACCGATGCTTTTATCTGTTCTAGATGAAGTGTGAAAATATAATATTTCGGTCGACTATATCTGGTACTTCACGGACATTTCAACATTTTGTAAAAATTATCACATATCTCATATAAACTGAAGGAAGTAGTCGATATAGTCCAAACCTGGCACGTCGCAATATTTATATCATATTTATTTAGGTCCGATATGAAATACACAATATTGGCCCATTCCTTCAGAACCTACTCCATAGAGGGTCAAAATTTGAATAATCATAACAGAAGTCAAAATATATTTAAATAATCCAACATTTTCTGAGGCTAAATTGTTTTAATATTCCTCCAAGCTGTATCAGGGCCATAAACGAGAATTCAAGCAATATTTTTAAATGTACCTTATTGGCTTCTGCCTTAAACTTCTCCCTTCTGCTTAATTACTTCGTAATAAAGTGTATATACGAGTACTATTAAAAACAACTTAACCTTCAACGATGAACGACGTGGGAAATATTGTAAAAGTTTTGTGTTGTATATTCATTTGCGAAAAACAATAACAGAAATTCTCCGCTCAAACTTTCCCTCTTTTCAAAATTTATTTAAAAACTCTTGAAACATAATCTTTCGATACATCACTGCTGCCTTCGAACTTTCGACTCAACCTTTCGAAATACACGGGACACGTGTATGGCAAAAAATTGAATTTTAATAAACTTAAATCAACAAATAATAAGTTTGTCTGTGTGTGTATATGGGCGGCCTACACCTGTACACATACAATTGATGATGTATTTATGTATGCATATAGATTCATATAACGTCCCGTATAGATTGGTATAATATAATCAAAACAAAAGAAGCTCAAAAAAAAAAAAAAAACAATGAATACAGTTTCAATGACACCAGCTGTGAGGAAGAGAAAAATATAAACAAAAACATCATCGGCAACAACAATAACAACACTGATGTAAGGGAGGAAGTCAATCATTCTAAAAGTGTTATAAACAGGAAAGAAGAAAAAAAAGAGAGCTGAATAACAGATGTGCAGACATGTTCAACAATTTAGAACAAATGTGAAGGCTCTGAACAAACTTTTGTTTTGTTCTCTCTCGGGTTTTTTTTTGTCGGTCCTATGTTGCAGATAATTTTAAAACAAACTTGTTGTATTCTTTGTGTAGGGAAATGATTGACAACCCAAAATATCAATAGAGGAGCATTCAAGTTGTAAGATTGAGAGTAATTCTAGGAAAGGGTACATGTGGGAATATTTAGTGTTTTCATTAGCTAATGTTTATATCGAACTTTTTTTCAATAATTCAGTTTTTTTCAGACATACAGCACATTTGGGACTTAGGATAGAGCTTATAGAAATACATTTTGAGGTCAAGAGAAAAAATATAGATTGTTAAGGTCACACTTTTCCACACCCACTTGATAGAAGGTTTTCAATTAAATCACTGTGAATTATTCGGGAATGAAATTTTACTGGTCTGTTAAAAATTTGAATCGAGCTTGGGATTTTCACTTTAAAGAATTTATTATTATTATTAAAAAAAAAAATTAACCTTTTGTCGGTACAGGAATAAGTGGACCAATATTGTCATTTTTTAATCCTGATATATGTCTTATTTAAATACTCAATACGAAATTGCTCAATATGAAATTTTGAGGATTTTTTTTTTTGACAAGTTTAAAAAATTGAATTTGATTTATGACGATTCCTTAAAGTTTGAATATTCCTTTATATGTGAGACATATGGACAACGTTTTATAGTTCCGAGAGGTGTTAATTAATCCACAAGTT